TCTGCAAAAGTCAAAGAGAATGTTTTTGACAAATTGGAGTAAAACAATTATTTTTCAATTTGATTAGTGACACGCGAATCCAAAAAAGAATATTATTAGGAGTTTATTTTCCCAGCAATTATTTTTTACCTTGGCATGCTTTGAATAGTGTTACGAGTTGTTTGAGGCGAACGCGTTGTAAAAACCGTGCACGGTATGAACTCTATATAATGGTTCTGATCATTAGTGGTGTCCCGCAACGTAGACGTCGTGATTGAATGATAGATGACCCAACATCTCCTTTTAGCTACCCCCCATTCTCTTACTGCTTTTCAGTGCAGAAAACATACTATGAACTAAGCGAACTCCTTAATGCATTACTCATTGGTTATTGTTACGAAAATATTAAATAATGCTACACGATCAACTGGCTCCCATACTTTACAATGTACAACCTGTCTTTATACGTAGCGCCTCGACGTCTCCGTTAGAAGAGTTCATTATAATTTCAAATGTAATTTTTCCTTATACGTATGCTTGCACTTCACTCCCGACTTCTGCTTGAATGATGTTTCATAAGCGCATCCTTCGTTAACGAGTAGCTAACAAAAATAAACAAGTTTGGAAATGATTCAGAAAACATGAATTATTTAATTCCACCTGGGTCGTTTGTAAAATTGTCTTCAACGTAATTCGGAAGGTGCATTCAAGGAAATCATTCAGTTTGGAAGAAAATGAAGCGGTTTTAAACTGTATTAGAAATTACACACTTCTGGTCAGCACTTCGTAGTAGTTTGTGCAGTCTAGATATAGAATAATCCGGATAGCGTCTTTTGAATGACCTACATCCTTGGCAGAGCTTTCTGTAATTTCTACGTTTACGACGCAAATCGTTTAGTTGAATGGACAGAACAAAGATCAAGAAAATTTTACGCATAGAGTTCCATTCATCGGGTGACGACCCGTGTATATGTATACGTTCAAGAATTAATTATAAAGGAAATCTTGTTTGTATACGGAACAAGAAGTTACAGTTATTCTCATAACACACTCTAAACTTTTGAAAAAAAAAATCTAAAACATCCTTGCAGGATGGATAAAACTAAGGAAGTTTAGTTACTTTCCCCTGTTAAATGTGTTTTCTTTGAGATTATCCAATTTTACAGTATCAAACTTTATACAATTTCTATATGAAATTGAGGGATAAAGTGTGGAAAACTTTTATTTAATGGCCTATTTGGAGAAATGCAATGCCTACTACCTGCAAAGAGCAGAAATTGTGTGCAACATCCCTTAGATTGTTTAGTAATTTAAAGTGGAACTTTTTCTTATGGTTTTAAATTATGTTTTCAGAGTTTCACTTAGATTTCCTCTTGATTATATTGATAGCATTGTAATGACTTCTTCTATAGGCCGATTTGTCAAAGTAACATTAGTAATTAGCGCTTTGTATTGCACCTTTTGAGTTGCGGTTCCAATTCTCATTTTTTCAACAAATTTGTGATAAAAAATGCAGATATGTACTCCGGTTAGCTGTACGTAGTGATTACGGGCAAAATATGTAAAAGGAGCTTTCTAATAAGGTTAAATTTTTTAGCTTATAGAGATAGGTAAAGTTGGAATTTTTCAATGATTAAAGGTGGTCGCTTTAGTTAATAAATCGCCATTTTGCGGTTGCAACAGTTTATTTCTACCATCACGTAAACTTTAGCTTTTGAAATTCGCTGACATTAAAACTGTGATTTTCATTATGATAGCTGGCGCCAGTTTCCGCGAAGCCTTTTCCTAGCTTTCAATTTCCTCTTCCATATTCATTTTAGTACTGTAAGTACGCTGTAGTTCAACACTGTACTAAGTGTAAGGTAAATACCATGTGGTTGTAATTGCCATTTTCTAGATATAATTGTTCTGGCGATTGAACTTATTTCGTGGATCCCGAGCTATTTGGACGGGTCTGCTACCTTTCCGAAAGCGGAGGTACATTCCAGTGTTTCCCTTCCGTGGCCTACCTGTGTTGTTTATAAAGTCGCTCTGATCGGCCCCAGAGCGTGAAATGGGTCTATCCCAATGTCTAATTGTGACTTATGTTTAAACTGTGGGCCAAAATGGGCAAGATCCCAAAAAGGCCTTGTTAAAAAAAAAAAAATAATAAAAAAAAAACCTTTACGTGAGTACGGCCATTCTATCTTCCACCTGCTGATGCATTCATTTTAGGTTCTGCTGTAGAAGCTGAACATGCCATTTACCATCTACCCTTCATTCCTGTAATTTCGATGTTCTGTGAATAGCCCTCTTATTTTAAAAGGTAGATCTAAATACTGCAAGACGCGTCGAGGTATAGATCTTCCGACAAGCCCGAGGCCGAGTTGCGATCCGTTGAAGAAGCCCTCTTCCATTATTCGAAACTGAGGTACTGTTCCGCTGCTGCTGACCGTTTTATAGAAGAAGTTTTTTTTTTATTTGGAGAACGGATTTAAGACCAAGTTTTTGTGCGTCACATTCATTAAAGTGCATTGTTTTCTGGTTGTAATTAGTGTTGTGTCCGGATCGTAATGGGATATTATAACTCAAAAAACTCTAAGTAAGGTTAAGGCTTTTTGATGTTTGTTTATTCGGACGCTGTGATTCAAATTTGTTAATTAGGATTTCATGTTAAAGTTCATTTGCGGTCGTAGAATAAATTTTGTTATTGTAATATCATGCCAGTCGTGTACTTATTCGAACCCTTTAACCACAAAGAGAGAAGTCTCATGTTCAATTACGTTTGATTTTGTTTATTCACGCCCAAAATTCATTTCAAATGCTTTCAAAATTTGGTAAATGACTGTTTTGGAATTTGCACTTGACTAATGTTTGATTGGAATAAGGAATTTAAAGTCAGAATGCCCCTTACTGACGTACGAATGGTTAAAAGCGATAATGAAGTCGACAGTTAATTAATTTTGCAAGAATTTTCTTTAGAATTAACTACCTAAATTGGCAGGTTGAAGCCAAATGCTAGTCGCGGGGTTTTTATCGCATTTTTGCTTACTTGTTTGTAAAAAGGTAGCTTTTATTCATACTTTGGCTGGCTAACAGCAAATGAGGACCCGTAGAAGAACGCTTGTAGAAAAGGAGTGCACGTGTATCGCATACTTGAAGGCGGCATACGCGTCCGCATGCATGCGATAATTGACCCTTCCTCACAACTACATATTTCGAAATGCGAAGCTTAATCACGATCGAATGTATGACAAAATGGTCTAGTAGCAAAAAAACTCGGTTTGCAACCTGACGGCTCGGGTTCGATTCTTTGCATGAAAACTTTTCTTTGTGTCTTTTTAAATACGTATCCCAATTCAGAGTTGGACATTAGGTCATTTGTAGGTTTAAGATTGTCTTCACAAGCAAAAATGTACAAAATTGCTGCAGAGTTTTCCGAAAGGATAACGCGTCTGCTATTTACAACTTTAGAGACTGTGCTACATGATGTCGACATCTGGGCGCCATTCCCGAACGTGGTTAAGTAACGTGTCAATTTTTCAGTTTTTTCCTATCTTCTTCTATAGTTTTGGTCCGTTGAAACTGGTGTCGTCGGAAAGATCTTCTAAACGCGCACAACTCCTGCGTGACGGATTTTTTAAAAGGGCGAAATTATAATAAATAGATTATTTTTAAATGTACATGGTGTCCGATTTTTACGGTGTAAACGAATAACTTTCTTTTACAAATAGAGCACCATGTATATTTTTGGTTGTCTCGATGTCATTTGTTAACCTTTACATTGAAACCTATTCACTTTTTGATTTGATAATTTACTTCGAATATCATAGTATCTCAAGGTAACACCTTTTCAGATACAATCAATTAAATGACCTGCAGTTGTATTTATAATAATTACTGGCACCTAGTTCTTTATAATTCACGAAACTTCCATAAATGCAGCCAATCGGAGCGTGGGTCAGGGCCAGACAGTAAATTAAAGTTCGGGTTGACGCAATTGTAGATTGTATAATAATAATAATAATAATAATATATTTTATTTCCCATCTAACAGCAGAGCCTAATTACAGATGAGAAAGTATATATTATATTATTACTAATTAAAATTAAGCCGCGCGAAACTATGCATTCGACTGTAATTGTAATTGAAGTAGGACCAAAATAGTGTCTTAAATTTGGTTCTGTAATGGTGGGTTTCTACAATTAATTCACTCAGCTGAGGATGGTTTCGTTGGTTAGCAACGCGCAACAGATCTTTGTTTCTATTGGCTATTTCCTAATGATTTTTGATAGTGAACTAATGATCATGATTGTGTAAACTCATCATAACAACCAGATCTACTACTTTACTGCAACTGTGGTGCAGTAATAGAGCCTTCAACTTTGGTTCTGCAAACCACAGGCCGTTTCAACCCCTCATATCGAGTTTCCGTGGGCAATCGGTCCCGAGTACTACCATTTATGGGTTCGCTCATAATAGATCGAAATTGAAGGGATCAGTTAAGGAAAAGAGGGCGTGTACTATTTTTTGTTTTCGGAAAAATGCAAAATACCAAAAAAGTCCTACATTACTTCAAACTCAGGAATCAACTGAACAAAGTTCAAATTCTATGTCTAAGATGTTTAAGAAAGTTTTTCTGTATTATGTGATCGAAATTTTGTCAAAATCCACGGAACATTAAATTCATCTCAGTAGCACTGAAAAGGAACACACACATGATCGTCTTTCTAACACGGTTTATAGAGACGAAGACATGTGGATTGCTCTTTCAGATTCAATACAATATTGGCGACGCGACAAAAAGTGGAAAAAGCATATAAAGGATAAGTAGAAGGACAGCTGATTCCAAAATGTTTAAGGTAAGTAGTATCATTGAATAAAAGCATTATTTTATTCAATGGTAGTACACATGAAAAGATAAACGAATACAACAAAGCTATTTCCTTTGTATTCAATAGCGCAGGTAAATAGAATTTGTATCTTCCATTCATAGATGCACGTAATTAAAATGCAAATTAGCGAAAACTTAATTTCCTACCTTGTGTTTATCCAAATGTATTTGTCTCAAAAAGGGGTCAAAAAGTAATTTGTCAGGTTCTACGTTGATTGGCGACTGCCTTCGTCCTTTTGAACACATATTCCATTGCGGGTTCATTAGTCCCCAATAGCCCGGACCTGCAATATAAATTAAATCACTTAGTACGCAATGAAAGACGTATACTTGTTATCTCAAATATGTAAATTGACACGTCAGCGTTAAATTAAACGAAACACTTCGTTTTTGCGACCTACGTTATCGCTTATTGATTGAAAAAGTCCATTTCCGTCAAAGGCTACGTTTTCTTTGAACTTTGATTCTAGTATAGAACTCGTTACGATGACGCTAGGTTTGATATACAGTAACTTATCTTAGTAGTATACTTTCAGACTCTCCGAGAACTCGAGGGACTTCCGCTCTTTACTACTTTGAAAGCGTAGAAGATAAATAAATGACACAAAACATCTGATTTTACTTTTTGCGGTTTCGTCTCGAACTACTATATCCCTTTATCGAGTGTAGGTAAATAGAGTCCACACATACCACCGCCTTTCGATCACGACTTGGCAACTTTGAGTAATTAATATTCATTTTGTGTGTTTCCGAAAGTTGTTCGGGGTGTGAAAGTTATATGTGTATAAACGTGATAGATGACAGACCAGAAAGAGATTGCGGAATAATAATATAACAGAGGTGTTGGTTCGTGTTGAAACGGAATTTCAACCTTTTGTGAAGGAGTAATGTACCGAATATTTAGAGCTTACTAAATTCCCTTTCGAATAGGGAAGGTTAATACAGTTGTAATACGTAACCTGATTTCTCAAATGTATAACAAGAATGTCTTCCACAATCGGTATTTGATGAGACAATTCCATTTTCGACATATTTGTGCGATATTAGGCACAATACTATTAACATTACTGGTGTTAGTTTACACGTCGTGTACCAACGCGTTTTAGAAGCTAGGCCTAGGGATTCACATCTTAAGTCATAACTGAGAACGTAAATGCTTTGCGCGAAGGTATCAGCGAGTGCTTATGTTAATTTCAGAGGCAACGTTAGTGTTGAAGAAAATAACAGTTTTCACGTCAGTTTGAGAAACCCCAATCTCTAAAAATTAAAAACCACGTACCGTTGTCGTCTTTCTCATCATCATTCAAATTTATTATACCAACGTGTCTGTGGAGACATCTACTTAATTTTATTAAAAGAGTAAGTACGCTATGCTTTTTATCATGTTCGAACGATAATTCCAAACGCTTGACAATGTTGACTTGCACAGTTCTAAAACGTTTTAAATTTAAATGAAATGATTTCTTTGAAACCTTATTTTGGATATAGGTACATTGATCTAATTTGATACACGTCACAGTAAGTTACGGAACCCATGCTCGGAAACGGGGCCATTATATGTCCTCAATCGGGATGGAGATAAGACCCTCGGTCACTAGAGAATATCCACTGCTGTGGTATCTGGTGCTAGAAAAATCACCTTAAAAGAATTTAGGTTCACAGGGCCATAAAAACTACAGATGCTTCTGTTAAAGTGGACTTAAGTTCCTATAATGCTCAAGATGTTCAAGGGACTCAAAAGAATCTAAACTGAACGTCTTGAGAAGCTTTAAATTCCAATATAAAGTTTCCGGAGAGAAGCGCATGGAATTGTGGGAAACGATGCTACGTTTTATTTATTTCCTCACGACTCATAAGACATATGATAAAGAAGCTTCGGTCACATTTTTTTTACACTACGTAAACCATCAAAAGTAGACCACTACTGTTATATACTGATTAATTTGCACCTACCTCTTGTCGCGTACATCCACGTGACTTCTGTCGTCGTGACTGTCTTTCCGGTTCCGGTGTACGAGACCCGTGCAACGTTGTCACGTTTACCTTATATTACATCCCCCCTTTTTATGTCTTAAAGTTCAAAGTCTTTAGAATAGTTTATCAGGCAAGTTCGGTTTCACTTAAACAACTGATTTAGAATTGTCAACTTAATACTATAGTCTTGTCTTTATAACTACGGGTTTATGGCACTAATGACTACAAGCAAGGTTTCCACACTCACAACGAGACCTCGGTGGCCTTACCACGCGACCCGATCTGGTTGTGTAAAACTGTTGCTCTGCTGGAATAACACCTCGAGTTACACCATTGTCTTCGTTTGACTGGACATAATCATTTCCTACCAGTGGACGCTGTTCAGTCTCTTCCGTCAGACTTCTCTCTTCCGCTCTTCCTCCCCGTTTTAGATCTTCCTGCGTTGACGTCCGGTCTTCCAATTCTTCCGGCCATTCAAACAATTCGTAAGGGTAGCGGTTTAATGTATCATTTGCTGTATCATTTGCCTTTATTAGGTGAGATCTATTTCGTCGATAGTGCTTGTTATCAGCTATTACAACGTATGATCTTGGTTCAGGTCCTTCATTGACCACCACACCGTATTTCTTTAAGTTTGTAATCCAAACTCTATCGTTAACATTTAAATTTTGAACTACTTTGGTTCTGTGGTGTTTGTTAAAATTATCAGTGTATACCTGAATCTCAATTTTTCTACGCCTAATATAATCCGGTAAATAGTCCCATTTAGGAATTAGATTCATTTTATTTGTTGGTAAGGTAGTACGGGGTGTTCTGCCCATTATTAGCTCTGAAGGGGAAAATCCACACTGAAGTTTGGTAGTCCTGTAGCTTAACAATCCTAAATTTGGGTCATTTGATTTTAAAATAATTTTCTTCGCAATTTTAACGGCCGATTCTGCTTGACCGTTGGTTGTTAAAACAAGGTCCGTTGTCTGAACGAATCTTTTCTGGTATTCCCCACCTTGCTAAGAAAGTACTAAGCTTTGCAATGACTTCTGAGGCAGTAGACTTGCTACCTCTATGTATCTGGAGAAGTAATCTACTACAACCAGATAATGTTTCTTGTTAGCCTCGAACAAATCCAAAGCTATGATTTGCCAGGGGTATTCGGGCACTTCTGAGGCCATAAGCGGCTCTGTTGGTGTTATTCTGTGTTCGATACACTTCTCGCAACCAGTTACCTTATCATCGATGTGTTTAGCAATACCGGGCCACCAGATTGTTTCCTTGGCTCGTGCACGACATTTTATGATTCCAAGGTGTCCCTCGTGTATTCTGTTCAGCATATCTGGTCGCAATTTTGGCGGTACATATATTCGAGTTCCCAAACAGACAATTTCGTCCAACAGTGACATATCTCCTCGGTATTGGAAGAAAATTCTGTCCTCAAGGGGAAGAAGTTTATTACTTGGCCACTCATTTTCTATGTAGTGTCGTAACCTCAGAGTTTGGGGATCCGAAACCTGTGCTGACCTAATTTTCTGTAGGTTTGTGTCCGATATAGGAATTGAAGTGCAGATGTGCTCATAGAAATCTTCCACAGCATCGATTAGTAATGCGTCTTTTTCAGGGTCAGATGATGCAATTGGTGCCCTAGACAACAAATCGGGAGTAATCATTTGTTTTCCCGGAATATATTGTATGGTATATTTGAATTGCAATAATCGCATCCTGAAACGCTGGATCCTAGCGGACAGATCAGATATAGGCTTACTTCCAAGAAGAACAACCAATGGTTTGTGATCGGTTAGCAATATAAATTCTGTACCTATCAAGAACTGACTGAACTTCTCGCATGCCCACGTGGAAGCTAAAGCCTCACGTTCTAATTGAACATAGCGTTTTTCAGTCTCCGACATCGTTCGCGAAGCGTAGTAGACTGTTCTCCACGTGCCATCTGTATGTTGCTGCTCTAATGTAGCGCCTAAGCCATAGGAACTTGCATCAGCCGCTACCCGCGTCGGACGTCCCGGCGCGAAGTGCGCTAGTATCGGAGCGTTTGTCAGAGCCCGTTTGATTTGATCAAATGCGGTTTGTTGGGCGCTTTCCCACACAAACTCATTTTTTGTACTCAAGAGTTGGAGTATTGGTCTTGCCATATCCGCTAACCCGGGTAAAAATTTGGTGTGCACTTGCAAGCACCCGATGAGTTGACGAACTCCACTAACATCCCGAGGAGCGGGCATTTTTAAAATAGCCTTGACCTTTTGAGGATCTATTCCTACACCCTTGTTTGATATTATAAAACCAAGAAAGGTAAGTGACTTAACTCCGAAAATACATTTGTCCTTGTTGAGTTTTATACCTTTCTCCGAACACCGTTGCAATACGAGTTGAAGTCTACGATCATGTTCTTCTCGCGTACTGCCGAATACAAGCGTATCATCGGCTACGTTGATTATACCGTCGAGACCTTCTAGGGCTTCCCACATCTCTCTTTGAAACCTCTCTGGGGCGGACGTGATACCCATGGGTAACTTTTTGAACGCCCAACGACCGAAGGGGCTTATAAAAGTTGTTAGGAGTTGAGATTGTGGATCTAACGAAACATGATAAAATCCTGCAGTGGCGTCTATTTTTGAGAAAAAATTTGCATTGGGACCTATTTGTGCTAATGCTTCACTTATATCAGGTAAAACGAGCTTTTCCGTAAGAACACATTTATTTAGCATGGAATAGTCCACACATATACGAACTTTACCGTCCTTTTTCGGAACGGCCACCATAGGCGCACACCACCGGGTGGGTTGAGAGACCTTAAAGATGATATTCTGTTTTTCTAACGCTTCCAAATTCTCTTTGACCGCGTCGCGTAAATGGATCGCTACTCTTCGCGGGGTAGCGATTGAAAATGGTTTAGAATCCTGTTTCAACTCAATTGTATACTGTTTTCCAAGGTCACCTATTCCTTGGAACAGTTGAGGGAAATTATCTTGAATGGTTATCGAGCTTGCCCATGATAGCATCCCCAATGCTTCTATGGCATCGCGACTTAACAAGTTAGCGTGTAGGTTCTCAACAACATAAACCTCAGTGCTGTGGATTCTGTCTTTATAGAACATATTTACTTCAAATGTACCTTTGACATTAATTTTGTCACCCGAAGCGGACAACAAGGGTCTCTGGGGAGAGTCTAATTGTGTATGTTTAAATTTGGGCAATAACTCCGCTTTTAATACTGTAACATCTGCTCCCGTATCAATTTTAAAATTTATAGGCACTCCACTGACATTAACTATAGCTTGCCAGGGTTCACAGCATTGAGTTTGTATCGATCCCAAAAAGAATAAATCGCCTTCACTTACCCCAGAGTTGTTCTTTATCTCTACTGCGGCAACCTTTTTAGCTTCGTATCTACTTTTTGAGTTGGTTTGATGC